AATAAACCAGAAACATTGCTGCAGACAAAAATGACAAAACTGAAGCTGTCCTGTCTTGGGCATATCATAAGAAGGCGGGGTTCTTTAGAAAAGACTGCTGGGAAAAATATAGGGAAGGAAACGAAGAGGAAGACTAAATATGACATAAATTGACTCCATAAAAGAAGCCATAGGCATGAGTCTACAGGAGCTGAGCTGAGCTGTTGAGGCCAGGACATTGTGGACATCACTCATTTATAGGGTCACCAGAAGCCAGAGCTGACAACAGCTTGTAACACACACAAACCACTGTAGCCCTCTGAAAATGAAAAGGACAACCTCACTAATCTACCCCCATAAGATTTCTGTAAGGATGAATAATGTATGCAAATGTGTGTTTATAAACTTTAAAGTATTCCAGGGTTCTTAACCTGGAATCCAAGGATAGAAGACAAGGTTCCATGGATTTGGATGGAGAAAAAAATTACATCTTCTTTTATTTCAGTAGCCTCTAAGTGAAATTTAATATTTCCTTCAATTATACACACAGGCATGAATTAACATGCCATGTGCCTAGAACACAGTAAGAACTCAATAATTGTTAGCTGTGTTATCATTATGGTCAAAGTTATTCAATTGCACAAATGAGGGTCATGAAAAGCATGAGTCAATCACAGAGCTCTTACAATCCTCACTTTTTTTTCCTTCCACGTCTAAAAGGACACACCTGCTCTGAGCCAATACTATGTGATAGATGCTATATCACTGACTCATAGTTTCCAAGGCCCTCACTTGTGCAACTTAAAAAAATGAGTTGTAATGGTTAATAGAGCCAACTCAAAACTGAACCTCTGCTTCTACCCTCCCAAACCTCACCACCAAACAAAATGAAATGAAATGAAATGAAATGAAACAAAAAAAAACTCCTCTCCCATAATGATAATCCATCTTTCCAGGTGCTCACCTCAAAAATGTTGAAGTCATCCTTGACTCCTCTATTCTTTGTCCCAACTCTACTCCTTCAGGAAATTCTGTTGGCTCTAACTTTAAAATACTCTTTAAAATCTCGTCACTTCCCATCATATCCACTGCTGCTACTCTGGTCTAAGCCTCCTCACAGGTCTCCTTCCTTCTCCTCTTGCCCTATTGCATCTGTTCTCTACACACAGAATTATCCTTTTAAAATACGTCACATGACGTCATTACACTTCTTAAAATCTGCAACGGTTTCTGCTTCCCTCCAAGTAAAAACCAAAGCCCTTTAAATGACCCTCAAAATTTGTATGATCTGAACTTCCCTTACTTCTGTGACTTCAACTCCTCCCACTCTCCCTCCAACGCCCCCTTCCATTCCCCTGCCCACTCATGCTGTTCTAGCGACACTGGCCTTCATGTGGTCTCTTCAACATGCTCCTACTGTAAGACTTTTGCATTGGCTGTTTTCACTGCCTTAGAATGCTTTTCCCCCAGATACTCATGTAGCTTATTCCATCATCTCCATGTGTCTGCTCAAGTCACCTCTCTAGTAAAGCCTACTCTGAAAATCCTATTTAAAAATATCAGCCCACCACAGGATGTGTAATCCCTCTTACCTTGTTCTTCTTTTTGTGTGTATAGTACTGATCACTTTCTAATATATGAATAATGCAATTGCATATTGTCTATTTCTGCCTCCTACATTATAAACTCCATAGAAGCAAGGATTTTTTTTTTTTTGGTTTACTCATAGTTTTCAAATTATGTGTTCATTTATTCAGTTTTGTTGGCATTTTCTATTTGTTGTTTCAATTTTTCTTGTGCTAGAAACCATTGAACATAAAATTTACTGGCTTAACCATTTTTGAATGCAGAGTTCAATCATATTAAATACATTCATATTGTTCTGCAACCATTGCCACCATATTCAGACAAAAATCCCTGTGATTCTCTTGGCCTTTCTCCCATGAATATTAAGCCATTAAGAAATGGTTTTAAATAATGACCGCAGTAGATCTAGTCATCATGTCCACAATTCAAGGGCAAAAGAAGTTGGAAAAAAAAAGAGTGGTGCAGTTTCAGTTCCTTCTTAACAAAGTAAAAATTTTTCACAAATTAAAAACAAAAAACAAGCCCCCAGGAGAATCAGAATTTTGTTCATTGGCCATGATTGGGTCATATGGCTGCCATTACCTTTAAGAGATGCTGAATAAAGGAAAGGGAGAAAAAATATTATTATGGATGGCCCAGATAAGCTCTGTCCAGTAGTTGTGTTATGCAAGCCATGTATGTAATTTCCTAGCAGGCATATTTTTTTAAGTAAAAAGAAACAAGTGAATTAATTTTAATAATATATTTTAACCCAACATATTCAAAATATCATTTCAATATGTGACTAATATAAATATTATTGAAATGTATTTCTCATTCTTTTCTTTTGCTAGACTTAGTTTTTGAAATCCAGTGTATGTTTTATACTTCCAGCACATCAATTTGAACTAGCCTTAGTCGTAGCCTAGTGTTCAATAGCCACTTGTGACTACAGGTTTTCTTATTGGATAGCACAACTATAGATCAATCACAGCCAATTACCTGGGCAGCCACCCCAACAAGCCAGGTTTTGTTAACAAGGGAGAAGAGAGGTGGGGGTGGAGGTAAACAGAGGCAACTAACAAATGACTGCCATATCAATGAAATTACTGAAATTATTAATCAAATTGAATTGTCAAATAATAGTGTAATAGGTGTTTTTTGTTTAACAATGCACGGAAGGCTACAAACTATTTTAAAACTTTGTTGTACATTAAACCAAAAAGGGTTCAATGTGCTTCAGAAAACTCAGCATAAAAGATGGACTCATGTCCCCAGACCTTATTCAACAGATGTTTACTGCATTAGAGATTTTTTTCAGCTCCTTCAATGGTCTTTCTATGTGATCTCTGGGTCTTTGCACATGTTATCTCCTCTACATAGACTATTTTCCCTCTTTGTTTCATTTTCCCTAAATCTGGCTGGTTCTAACTCATCTTTCAGTTCTCAGATTAAATGTTATTGCTTCATGAAAAACTTTTCTCTAACTCCATATCATTCATTACATCATATATTTTCATGTATGCTTGTCATCCGCCTATCATTATGCTCATTATACTTTACTGTAATTATTTATTTTGTTGTGTATCTCTCTCACTTTATTATATGCCCCACAAGGTCTAAGATCATGTCTGTTTTGTATAGGAGGATCTACAAAAATGCCTGATCCATGTTTAATATAGACTTGTTGAGTGAATGAATCTAATGTCATGTGAGCTGTGAAAACAGAAAATTGAAGACAGACTTAAATGAGTAATACTATAATGTGTCTAAGGCTACTACAGAAGCATTCGCAGGATGCTAGGGACTACAGAAGAGATGAGTTCAACCTGAGTGATGAACAATATGTTTAGCAGATAGGTAGCCAAGGTCATGAGACCATTTCAGGCAGAAGGGACAATAATCTACCAAAATATTAATAAAGTCCTGAATCAAGGCCATTACTGTGGGAGAGAGTGATTGAAAATTGAAGATGTACTTTGAAAGTAGAATCAACAAGATCTGTTGAGCAATTTGTTGTGAATGTTGAGGGAGCAGATATCCAGAAGGACCCCCACATTTTCATCTTAGCCAACGAGGCTGGTAATAATATCATTTATTAAGTAGGGATTAGAAGAGAAAATTAGCTAAGCTTAGGAAAAAGAGAATTTTAGGGTTTGAGGAAATTTTCTGGTACAGAACAGAAGAAATCAGGCAGAAGTTTAAAGTGAAAGATACAATTGAAGGAATCGCTAGCATGGAAGATATTTGAAAACATGGGCACAAATGACACCAGACTCAACTTAATAGACATCTGAACAACGTGGCATGACTATAAAGTAACACCATTGCTTCTTCAAAAAACAGAGTAACATCAATTAAACATCTAAATTAATGATGCTTCTTGCAAATGAGTCTCCTCAAGAGACCCTACACTCGTGCTTGCTTACTGCTAAAAATATTTTCCACACTCCTTTTTTGGCCCATTCTTTAGAAAGCGAACAAGATATTCTTTTGAGTCTCTTCAATACTGGCAAATCATTGTTTCAGGATAAATTTGATGGGGGGAGCAAAAAATATTCAGGGCCAAGTCTGATAAACAGGGGAATGAATCATCATTATGGCTCAAAAAAAGAGGAGTAGCAAATAGCAAGAAAGATTTTCTTACATGATTTATAACAGAATCTTAAAACAATTTTAATTCAACAAATGTAGTGTCTATGGGCCAGGAGCTGTGCTCTTATGTGCACAATAGCAAAAGGGAAGCTCCTGATGTGTTCGAGCAATAGCATTTGCATAAATGTCATTTGAATAAGTATTTAGTTTCTCCAGTTGACTCCTTTGGAAGGTGTATTACTTAAAGAAATACTCTGTCTTCCTGGCTTCCGTGTGTTTGGGTCAAATGCCTATTTGGTGTGTTTCCACATCCATATTTCTTTGATAGCATAATTATATGATGCTGTTATTTCTACATGTCTATTTGCCTCATAAGACATTATGATTATCTTCTTCAGCACTTAGCACAGTGCCTCACAGAGTTATGGCTGATTATTGCTTGTTCGTTAAATAGGGAAATGGATTAATCAGTGAGTAAGTGGATGAGTGAATGCATCATTTTAAAACTTCAATCAAATTTCTGTTCAACTGATCTGTCCTCAAAATCTTTCCCTTCTCTACCTAAAAAGTATCCATACCCACCTACTCCTCTCAGTCTGTCCTTTTACTTTGCTTTATTTTTCTCCATAGTATTTATGTACATCTGAAATTATGCATGTAGTTATTTATTTTTCCTTGTCTGTCTCCTCAATAGAGTACAACCTTCATGAGAACAGTGGCCTTGTCTAGGTTGTTCATGGATTCATCCCCTAGAACAGCTGCTGACAATATAGTCTATTTTTTCCTTTTTAAATAAATAAATGCATGTTTCAATTATATGTTTCTATGTAATAAATCCCCCCAAAATGTAGTGGCTTAAAACAACAAGCATTTTATTATATCCCATCATATTGTGGGTCAGGGATTAGTGCAGGGTTCAGCAGGAAGATTCTTCTGGCAATTGGAGGATCTTCCATTCTATTCAGCTGATAAGCAGGCCAGTCTGGAGCTTTACTTAACATTTTTGACTCCTTGACAGAGATGATCGAAGACTAGGCTTAGCTGGACCTGATGACCAGAGTGCCTACACATGACCTCTCTAGCGTGGCAGTCACAAGGCAGTCAGGTTCTTACTTGGTGGTTGAGAGATCCCAGAGTGAGCACTGAAAGAGGTATGGGCAGAAACCTATTACTTAACTTCAAAAGTGCCCCTTTGTCCTATTCTATTCCTCAAGCAAGTCACTAAGTCTAGTCTGTATTCTGGAGGAGGAGAATTTAATACCGTCTCTCCAAAGGAAAATGAGCAAAGGATTTATGGTCATGTTTTAATCTCATATGTTACATGAAAGGAAAAAACTTAGTGTACTAAATTTTTTAACATTTAGCATTGGGTAGACACATAAAACAAAACACTGATTGCTGAATAAATCAGATGTAAGTAGCTAAAAGGAGAAGAAATGACAACTCAGACTTCTTTTCTCTACCTCAAAAGACCAATTTTTATATAGAGATCAAACTTTTGAAAAAAAATTGATTAAACGTTGTATCAACTGCTCTGTTGAGTGTTATTCATGTCTTCTCTTATTTAGTTCTCACAAACCACCTTATTAAGTGGATATTATTGTATTCACCCCTTTTTTATAGATAATGAAAATGAGGCACAGAGACATACAGTAATTTCTCAAGATTACACAGGGAGTGATAGGAACCTAGGTAGTTCAATTTCAGAACCCATTCTTATTCATCAAACTATAAGGCTTTCAAGATAGGCATCATAATACATTGCAAGGCTGATATTTCTCCCTAAGAAGGAACAGGAAGGACATTAAAAAAAATTTTATTGTTGTTCAATTACAGTTGTCCCCATTCTCCCCAATACTCTCCCATGCCCTACCCACATCCACCTCCCACATTCAATCCCCCCATTGTCTTTGTCCATGGGTCCTTTATACATGGTCCTTGACAACCCTTCCCCTCCTTTCCCCTGTTATCCCACTCCCACCTCCCCTCTGGAAGGACCTATTTTAAGAAAGTAAAAAGAGCAGGAGCTTTAGAATCAGCCATGTGTCATAACCTTGAATCTTCCTAGTAATAACTGTGCAACTGTGGGCAAGTTATTTAACCTTATACTCATTTATTAATAGGGATGATAATATCTAGTTTTTAGGATACATTGAAGATGAAATTAAATATTTTAAAGTGCCTAGAAGAGAGCTGTCATTAATAAAGACTTACCAAGTGTTAGTTTCTCAAATATACAATAAAATATTATTTGGCCATAAAAAAAGAATGAAATCCTACCATCTGTGGCAAGATGAATGGACCTAGAGGGTATTATGCTAAGTGAAACAAGTCAGACAGAGAAAGACAATTACCATATGATTTCACTTATATGTGGAATCTAAAGAAAAAAAATAAATGAACAAACAAAATGGAAACAGAATCACAGATGCAGAAAACAAACTGATGGTTACTAGAGGGAAGAGGACTTGCAGGGCTGAGTAAAAAAAGTGAAGGGATTGAGAAATGTGGATTGGAAGTTACTAAAGAATCATGGGCTGTAAAGTACGGCATAGGAAATATGGTCAATAATACAGTAATATCTATGTATGGTGCCAAGTAGGAATTTGAATTATCATGGGGATTACTTTGTAAATTGGATCCCCCTTGAATTATCAGGGGAATTATATAATTGTCTAACCACTGTGCTGTAAACATCTGAAACTAATATAAAATCATATTGAATATGAACTGTAATAGAAAAATAAAAATGAAAGATATTAAATATAGACATCTTACCTAGAAAACAAGATAAAAATTTTATTCCATTCACCATTCAAAAGAAAAAGAAGACAAAAAAAAGTGTTTATTTCTTTTTCAAATACATATCAAATGCTCTAGTTATAGGGAGAATCAATTCCATTGTGTGTCACAGTTTTTCAGAATTAAAACCTGTGCAGAATTAAATATTTATATTGAGGGAAAAAAAAAGATGCTCCAGAAATTTAGATTTATCTGTCTCTCTCAGCCAGCTGTTTCTGCCCTATCTGGCATGGACAACAGAATCAATTCTTCTAACAAAAGCATATTTACCCCTGACAAAGTAGTAACAACCTGTCAACACAATTTTTTATTGGCAATAAAAATAGTTTTAGAAAAGTCTTACTTTTTAGTTAAAATCAGAATTAGAATGCCCTATAATGTAACATTGGTAAGAAAAAGACTCTAAATTTGGAATCTAGTTTCATGTTCTATTAAGTATTGTGGAAGGAGAAATGGTGACATTAGGATACCAGCACTTCAACTCTCACATTGTTCCTACTATCATTAGCATGAATATTTTATTAGCAATAGTATGTACTCATGGTTTTGTAAGAAAGTTTCCTTTTCCACAGCTTTTCTAAAGCACAAGATTGACACTAAACCACTTATAACTGTTATGTATAATAATTTACACTACTATTTTAAGTCCCAAATTAGCTACTTGCCTGACAAATAACAAAGAATATCGATTGCATCTACCATGCTCAAATTCTGTGGAATTGAAAAGGATGAGACATAAACTTGAGAGCAAGCAAGTAGCCCAATATACAGAATGTAAGTGCACCATTAGACTAAGGAAGAAGTAGGACAGCTTGTGGTGACCTAAGGGAAAATTTTGTGGCTATTAGAAGGAAGAAGAAAAAGTAATTAGAGGTTAAGTGCAGACTAGTGCTGCATAGAACAAATACAAAAGATGGAAACAGTCTTGATTTCTAGTACTGTCAGAAATTGTTCCCTAGCATATATTGTATTTTACATGGGCTTGTGTTACAAAATTTTAGTTTTGAATCTTAGAATAGGACTATTCTGAAGCAATGGGATATAATAATTACAGAAGAGAAATAGGTGGAAAATAAAGTCTGATTATTAGAATCCTCATGAAAATTATGAACTTAGTTTTTATAAATGAGGAGGCCAGAAGAAGCATTGGTAGGATCTTGAAGAAAATAAACATGGAAAGACTGAGGAGACTGCTTAGTCTTTGAGAAAGCAGCAGTCTCAGAGAGTGGCATAGCAATAGAACAGGCAATAGACAATTGTTAAACAAAGCCTTTTATAGCCAATGACTCACAAAGGCAGCACAAATCTCTGTTAATTATATCATTAGCACATTTCAATATGCCTCCCAGTGGAGACCAATGAAAAGGATAATGGTTTGCCCTTTCCCCTTCACTCTAAGTTGCTATCACTAAGTCTAGCAACCAAACAATAAAACAAACATCAAAAGAAAATAGACTTTTTATCATGGATGATATTCAAGCTCTATAAAAATTCTATGCCTCTTTACAGTCATGGAAAATCTTACAAAGTATTGCACTTAGGGTTGTTGTAATTACAACACCCACTAAATGAGATACAGTGGAAAAGTGATTGGGGAAAGTCCGAAAGTCACATGTGTAGCAATGCGCTGAGTCACCACTTATGGCAAGAATGTGAACTGGACCTGACTGGTGTGGCTCAGTGGGTTGGGTGCTGACCAAAAGGATGCAGTGTTCTATTCCCAGTCAGGGCACATGCCTGGCTTGCAGGCCAGGCTCCCAGTTGTGGGCATGTGAGAGCAACCACACACTGATGTTTGGTTGCCTCTCTAAAAATAAATGAATAAAATCTTTAGTAACAAAAAAAAATGTGAACTAGCCAATTGCTATACATTCTGGGGGAGGGGGTTGTTTCATTTTGTTTGTTTTGTTTTGTTTTGTTTTGTTTTTGGAGTTTTTTTTTAGGGGAGAGAAGAGAGCTATTCGAGTATGTTTTTATAGAAAATAAGGACTGGCAACTCAGTGTAATATTATAATGAGCATTTTGGAAGGGAAAGTGTTATACATATAAATGTAGGCAGCTGCATGGTATTCTTATAGTTTGATACCCACCAAAAGGAGTGCCTGTTCTCTAACCAAAAATGTCTTTCATTTATTGAGGTGTCTAAAATTCACACCATTACTTATCACTTTAAGATTACAAGTGGAAAGGAAGACCCTAGGTCTGTTGAGAAATGAGGCCAGGGATGAAGCGAGCCTGAGCAACATGAAAGTGTTTTTTTGTATTCAAGAAAGTGACCCAGAAAGCATGGGGTAGGGGTGGAGGGGTAGGGATGGTGGGGTATGAAAAGATAGCAAAGACTGCTCTTCCCAATATTATACGAGAATTTGGTCCAAAGGGAATAAGAGTTTGATATTTTCTATCTTTTTGTCTCACTCATTTAATTGACCATTTGGCCTCAATTATTTTTGCTGCTTATTGAGTTGAATTTTATGTGTTTATTACAAAGCTTCTGTTTGTTTTTGGAAGTAATTTTGCCTTTTGGCTCTTCAGATTGATTCCTTTCTATTCACTAATAATGGCTATTGATTATGACAACTTTTCCACTTCAGATGAAGTATAATAATATAAGAGCTTTAATATGCAGATTTACATCAAATCCAAGAGATATTTTAACCTAAATCTTTGGCATTTAGTTCAGGTAGAGGTACATATACTGTAGAAATTTTTGTATATAGAGAATTTTCATATATATGTTATATATCAATAGAGAGAAAGACACAAAGACATGTCTATGTACATTTTAAACTTCAACTGGACATCTTAAGATATTTAATCTGTCTAGGCAGTTACTCTTGTCTAGATGAGGAATTTTATCTGCAAAATTATTGGCAAAGCCCTATGGGCCTGTGTAAATTATGAAAGAAATATGGAAAAACCTAGACATTTTTTCTAAGAGAAATTATTCTTCTAAGATGACTTTCTAATAGTTTCATCTGTTAGTAATACAAATTTGTTTTTTATTGACATTTTTGAGAAAGAGTAATATCAATTTGTTCTCCCACTTATTTATGCGCTCATTGGTTGTTTCTTATACATGCCCTGATGGAACCAAACCTACAACCTTGGTATAGTGGGATAATGCTCTAACTAACCGAGCTACACAGCCAGGGCAATATAGCTCTTCTTGAACAGATTTTCTAACCCACATCTTCCTTTCTGACCTTCCACTTCCAAAAATTCTTTACCATCTAAAATGTATTCATTTCTGGAGAGTAAATCTAGACATCAGCCAAATAATTCATCTCCTCTGTCAACTGTTACTCCTAAAGTTATCCTTTCCAGAAAAAAAAATTAACCT